AGTACCTGGAATCATTGAAACATATTTACCTGTATCGTATAAACAAGGTTTATTTAATCAGTGGAAATTGCTTCAAGAGTTAAATGAAATGTCTCAAATTCTTCTGGATTCAAAACACCATCACCTGTAAAACAGTTGAAAATAAAAATATATTTTTCTTAAAACAAGGTTTATTGAATTATCGTTAGCTGTGAGTTAAATAAATGCATCAAATTCTTCTTGATTTAAAACACCATCGCCTGTAAAAAAATAAAAATATATTTTTCTAAATATTATACAATTGTGTGCAGATACAATATGAATGGTGAATGGTAATGAGCAGATTGTAATTAAACAATCAGATTACAAGAGATGTTATTACATACAGGCTATATGGTAATTAAAGTATCAGATTACAAGAGATATTATTACATACAGGATAGGTTTTATTACAAGAGATATTATTACATACAGGCTACATGGTAATTAAACAATCAGATTACAAGAGATATTATTACATACAGGCTATATGGTAATTAAACTATCAGATTACAAGAGATATTATTACATACAGGCTATATGGTAATTAAACTATCAGATTACAAGAGATATTATTACATACAGGCTATATGGTAATAAACTATAACATAAGACTTCGAGGGATCTTATCACACAGGACACATGTTAAAAAAAGTTGCGTAAAATAGTTTAATCAAATAATTTACCATCTTCATCAAACTCAGCAAAAATCATTTCTACATCATCAACGTCCAAGAAATTCGCCATTTCCTCCATAGTTATAACACCATCAGCAGTTATAACGTCCATGTCAGCATCTCGTTTACCCATTATAAAGGCAAGGACATCCTTAGTGGTATCTGCTGTCCTTCTTGACCCCCACCTCCAACCTTCAATAGACTGGGCCAGGACAAGAACAGTGAGGGTTAGAATCAACAACTTCATTCTGTAAAACAACAGGATTTTAGATACAGATCTCCGAGTAACCCAAACATCTGCATCTAAACTGGTAAGACATAGTTCCCATATTAGGGGGGGGGGGGGTGGAACTTACACATAAACCCACCTTTATCTGAAACACTAAATTAAGAAACACATATGCTTGAAATAATTTAACATCACACACTTCTGTTTGTCCACAATACTCGCATTCATTCTGATCAAAACGTGGTACGATAACCACTAGCAAGATGATTGCAAACGCTATTCATCTGACATTTGAAATACCAACAATTTTATATTGAATTGTACTTGGCTATATTTGATTCACGGTCCCCAGTCGTCCCCGCGGATCCCCCATGATTATTTGCCGGACCCGTAGCCCTGTCCCTATATTGGGAACGCCGTGTAAGCTATTGTTTATAACAGATTTGATTTGAAGCAGATTGGAGTCCTTGACCTTCTCGTTCCAGAGTTAGACCCCCCCCCCCACCGACCCTTTGCCGAAAACCTTGTGAACGCTATATTTTTAAAGGATTTCTTTCAAATTTTGAGGGAAGCATTGGGGTCATATGTTGAACCCTATTGATATTAAGCGTTCAGCGACTTTACGTTCCGGTGTCAACTAATTTGCTCAACATCTAAGTTTTCCTTTGGGATCAGCTGTATAAACAAGTTGCTGTGTGGACGTATTCCGGAATGACGTTCAGAGAGAAAAGTCAACCTTAAATTTGGCATTGATGTTCTGTCAAACATCTATTTTTAGAAATGAATCCAAATCAACATAATAAAACGTTTCATACTTTTAACATAAACTGAACAATTTTGACACACATCTACTTGACTATAAAAAGCCTACACAGCGGTTGGTTATTTTTCAAATATAGTCAATTTATGTGGTTAATAATTTAGTGTAATCTATATATAACCTCCAGGGGGGTGGCTTTGTCTTGCCTGTTTTTTCTTCATGCTAACATTTTCGTGGGTGTTGTTGACATGATGGTCTAATATTATTTATCTCTAGAATATACAGGTCACAATTCTATGGAATACAATTACTGCTTTTTACTGAGCGACGTTTCGACAAGGCTTCTCTAGTCATTATCAAGCTATGATAAAAAATGAAAATATGACAGTGTTTAACATCCACCGGGAATACGCCATGCAGGGTGTTATTGGAGAAATTGTGCCCGGGCAGTGGCCTTTGCGCCTGTTCGTTTTCGATTTCAAAATCGTAAAAAATCTAAATAATGTTAGATACTTTTCTGTATAGCAACCGGGCATAGGCCATGCACTGTGCTATGGGGGAATTGTGCCCGGGCAGCGACTGTTTCAAAATATAATAAAAACTAGTTTACCTGTCCAATGTATACCTTAATAGTATTAGTAACGTCTGAACGATGAGTGAACAGGTACAATACACTCTGTATTTATATATTAACAGGTGATAAATGTCATTATTAATTGTAATTAATATTTACACCTTGATGAATTGTTGACCTTGTGTAGATCAACAACATCATTAATGAAACATTTTAACAACTTTTTGGGGAAGATCCTGGACTAGCGCGGGGATCACGTGACTAAGTGGGTAAGACGCTGGCTCGCTAGCCTGGAGGTCGGGTGTTCGATCCCTGCATTGGCCGAGAAAGTTCATCCAGATTTTCCGGCGTGGTTCTCCCTTGTCCTGTCATATTTTCATTTTTTATCATAGCTTGATAATGACTAGAGAAGCCTTGTCGAAACGTCGCTCAGTAAAAAGCAGTAATTGTATTCCATAGAATTGTGACCTGTATATTCTAGAGATAAATAATATTAGACCATCATGTCAACAACACCCACGAAAATGTTAGCATGAAGAAAAAACAGGCAAGACAAAGCCACCCCCCTGGAGGTTATATATAGATTACACTAAATTATTAACCACATAAATTGACTATGTTTGAAAAATAACCAACCGCTGTGTAGGCTTTTTATAGTCAAGTAGATGTGTGTCAAAATTGTTCACTTTATGTTAAAAGTATGAAACGTTTTATTATGTTGATTTGGATTCATTTCTAAAAATAGATGTTTGACAGAACATCAATGCCAAATTTAAGGTTGACTTTTCTCTCTGAACGTCATTCCGGAATACGTCCACACAGCAACTTGTTTATACAGCTGATCCCAAAGGAAAACTTAGATGTTGAGCAAATTAGTTGACACCGGAACGTAAAGTCGCTGAACGCTTAATATCAATAGGGTTCAACATATGACCCCAATGCTTCCCTCAAAATTTGAAAGAAATCCTTTAAAAATATAGCGTTCACAAGGTTTTCGGCAAAGGGTCGGTGGGGGGGGGGGGGGTCTAACTCTGGAACGAGAAGGTCAAGGACTCCAATCTGCTTCAAATCAAATCTGTTATAAACAATAGCTTACACGGCGTTCCCAATATAGGGACAGGGCTACGGGTCCGGCAAATAATCATGGGGGATCCGCGGGGACGACTGGGGACCGTGAATCAAATATAGCCAAGTACAATTCAATATAAAATTGTTGGTATTTCAAATGTCAGATGAATAGCGTTTGCAATCATCTTGCTAGTGGTTATCGTACCACGTTTTGATCAGAATGAATGCGAGTATTGTGGACAAACAGACGTGTGTGATGTTAAATTATTTCAAGCATATGTGTTTCTTAATTTAGTGTTTCAGATAAAGGTGGGTTTATGTGTAAGTTCCACCCCCCCCCCCTAATATGGGAACTATGTCTTACCAGTTTAGATGCAGATGTTTGGGTTACTCGGAGATCTGTATCTAAAATCCTGTTGTTTTACAGAATGAAGTTGTTGATTCTAACCCTCACTGTTCTTGTCCTGGCCCAGTCTATTGAAGGTTGGAGGTGGGGGTCAAGAAGGACAGCAGATACCACTAAGGATGTCCTTGCCTTTATAATGGGTAAACGAGATGCTGACATGGACGTTATAACTGCTGATGGTGTTATAACTATGGAGGAAATGGCGAATTTCTTGGACGTTGATGATGTAGAAATGATTTTTGCTGAGTTTGATGAAGATGGTAAGTTATTTGATTAAACTATTTTACGCAACTTTTTTTTAACATGTGTCCTGTGTGATAAGATCCCTCGAAGTCTTATGTTATAGTTTATTACCATATAGCCTGTATGTAATAATATCTCTTGTAATCTGATAGTTTAATTACCATATAGCCTGTATGTAATAATATCTCTTGTAATAAAACCTATCCTGTATGTAATAATATCTCTTGTAATCTGATACTTTAATTACCATATAGCCTGTATGTAATAACATCTCTTGTAATCTGATTGTTTAATTACAATCTGCTCATTACCATTCACCATTCACATTGTATCTGCACACAATTGTATAATATTTAGAAAAATATATTTTTATTTTTTTACAGGCGATGGTGTTTTAAATCAAGAAGAATTTGATGCATTTATTTAACTCACAGCTAACGATAATTCAATAAACCTTGTTTATACGATACAGGTAAATATGTTTCAATGATTCCAGGTAGGGTGTTTCGTCTTTCATGGGGATGGTTCAGTGATTACGACGTTGGTTTGCTAACCTGGCGGTCCCGTGTTCGATCCTAGTGTTAACCGAGAAATTGCATCGGGAATTTTCCGACCTTCGGGTGCGACAAAAACCCGAGGTCCCGTGTACGCATGGGCGTGCACGTGAAAGAATCCGTGGCAGTTCCAATTCGAAAAAAGAGTAGGTCATAGCGCCGCTGTTCAGGCAATATGTCCGTCATAGCAGAATGTATGGCGTGTGCCCATCCGAAGCAGAACAATAAGACGTTATAAACCCCATTTCATTTCTTCCTGATGGTAAAAAAAATTATAGACCCCGTTTCATCATTGATATAAAATAATCTTCAAATTACGTATATTGAAATGTTTATAATTTAAATATGAAGAAGAGCATGGTGTATATCAATGCAAGTAAAGATCCCTTGGCAGTTGGAAACTGAAAGTAGGATGTAGTACCGTTTTTCTATCCTATTTGATCAACATTAAATTTTATGTTTTTATTTCAGATTTTAACAAGACTTAATTAAAGATTCATTATGTACGATTTCGATAAAAAGCTGACCAGGTCTCGCTATAATAGTTTTAAAATGGATAAAAAATTTCAATAAATTTACATCAATTTAAGCCGAGTTATCGTCAATTACAGAACAGTGTAGTCACGATTGTCATTGCTACCGTTGTTACGATAATCAACAAAGCCTTGATTATCCAGTTAAAATCATTATATAACAGTATAGTCATTGTTGGATATGGCGGTCATTTAGGTCGGAGATCTGTTCTGGAAGTTGATAGTTCTCTGTATAGCTATCAACTCTACTTCGAAAATAGATCTGTCCTAAATGGTGGCTACTTTACCAAAATCCTTATTCAGGAGTACTTCAGTGAGATGGATATATTTCATAAACAGATCTATAGAAATATTAATTATGCCCCATGATGTAAAATGAAATGAAATGGGGTTTAACGTCCTATTGTTCTACTCCGAACTGGGCTAATGAAGACAGGCATACGCCGGACAACGGCATACTCTTATATCGAATTCCAACTGTCAAGGGATCTTTTACGTGCACGCCAATGTGTGCACGAGACCTCGGTTTTTCGTCCCATCCGAACGACTAGACAGCTTTCTTTGTCAAACCCTCCGTCCTGCATCACTGACAAGGGAGAACCACGCCGGAAAATCGGGATGAACTTTCTCGGCCAATGAAGGGATCGAACACCCGACCTCCAGACTAGCGAGCAGCGTCTTACCCACTTAGCCACCGTGATCCCCTGTTATCTAACAAAGCAGTAATTCACGTGATAGTCAAGCACGTGCTTAATTTGCTGAAAGGCATTATGGCAGATCAAATAGAGAGCTATCTAAAAGAGCTATCTAAAAAAGAACATATTCCCCACAAAAGCCAACAGATTTGCTCATCTGAGCACTAATACCCGGGTTCCAATAGAAGTGACTGGATAACAGTTCTACTAATACCCGGGTTCCAATACAAGTGTCTGGTACATCCAGTATTTACTACCGACCATCCATCACGTGACACGAACAAGGCCTTCCCCAATGGAATTCGCTTGGATCATGTTAACTATTCTACTATACCATAACATCTCCCTTTCTTCAGATGGAACGTGACAAGGAGTAGGGTCGCATGCTGAACCTCGTGGGTTTTCTCCGGGTCCTCCGGTATCCTCCCACTGCTAAAGACCGCTACGCGCTAGCGAATTAAAGAAATAAAACTGAACCAAAATTGTCCCGAAATGACCTAGTTTGTGTCGAGTGAACGTTTAACCCCATTCCTCCCTCTTTTCAATAATATTACCATAAAATAACATCCTAAAATCAATCTTATTAAAATACAGATCTATTTTTCGTTTCGTTTTTCTAAACTTACAATACCTGTTCACTCATCGTTCACTACTGTGAAATCAGACGCTACTACTGTTATTAAGATACACATCCGACAGGTAAGCCACGGATTTTTTTAATTCTATTTTGAAACTCTCTCATGTACCGTACAGATCTACATGTGACGTCACATCATACCGAGTCCATAACACGTGTGTTGTTTACATCGGACGTAGTAACACAAACTCGTCCGGGTAGAATGGATTCATTTTAGTCATCATTACTAAAGTCAATACGATCAAAAAAAACAATCTTGATTATCCATTTTTGGATTTAATCATCAATGAGCCTTGAACAGCAGATCGGATTCAAATCCAGTAAATATCGCAGGCTAGCGATGACATCGAGAGTTGATTATGGTCTGAATAAATTAATTTATAATTTAGCTAACATTTCAGGCCTAAAGAAAGGGGTTCACTAGTCCGCGGGTGCACTAGTCCACCGCCATAAGAAATACTATAAATATGGGTATCAATAAACCTGACCCTAACCCAATCTGATCCCCAATAATAGATATTGGTGGACTAATGAACCCTAACCCTAATAATAGATATCGGTGATACACGTCGGGCTCAACAACAGGGAGGAAAGTGGACCAAGGATACACGAGCAGATGCTAGATCTACTCAAGGTGACCAGAGCAGCTTTCCCAACAACCAAGCTCTTCGCCACAGCAAAATCCACATGGAAACCACCTAAAAAGTCATTATCACCAGCCATCCTAAAAACTTTCGACGAAATGAATATAGAAATATCATCACTTCAACCACAATCACAAAAACCAAATCTCAACCGAGCAACTAAAACAGCATTAAACACCCTTAAAAAAGACAAAAACATAATAATTAAGAAAAGCGACAAAGGCTCGTGTTGTGTCATAGCAACACCAAAAACACTGGCCAACTAGAAACTAAAGTATTTTTCAAAGAAACCGATACACATCAACTATTGTTCAAGAGCTCCTTTCACCCAAAACATACATTCTCTGGCATCATAAAATCTCAGATTCTCCGTTTTCATAGGATATGTACTCAGAAGACCGACTTTGAGTCAGCATGTACATTGGTATTTAGCAAACTACGGGAAAGGGGATACTCCAAACGCTATCTACGACGTATAAAAAACAACACTCTAGCTGAGCTTGCCGCCAAAGAAACAAATAATATACAATCAGCAGTTAAAACCAAAATTTGTGGCCATCCAAGATGTCAAACATGCAAAATCTTAAACATATCCGACCATTTCCAAAACAAAACATCTGGCGCACAATTCCCAATATTAGACCAACTTTCATGCAGTAGTTCAAACATAATTTATCTAATTTCATGCAGAAAATGTGACAAGCAATACCTAGGGGAGACTCAAAATGCACTTAGGGAAAGAATTAACAGTCACCGATCAGACATAATCACCAAAAAAGACAAACCTGTCTCAATTCATTTCAACCAACCAAATTATGACATTTATGATCTCATTGTCACGCCAATAGAAAAGACCAAGAGCGACTTTGAATCTATAGCAGAAATTAAAACGTTTAGGCTAACACGAGAAAAATTCTGGATTGACAAATTGAAAACAGCCCCCCTAGGTTTGAATATTCATACGGCCAGCGCAATAGCTCCTTTTGTAGTTCCATTTAGCGGAACAGCAGCAAGTGCATCCAAAATCATCAGAAAACACTATACTGATCTCCAAGAAAATCACCCGAAAATATTCACACAGAAATTTATAATTGCATATTCTAAAAATAAAAATCTGAACGACATCCTAGTGCACAGTAAATTAGATTAAATAAGGCCAGTCTCCACCCTAACCCAAAACAAACCATATATCAAATCCTATCCCTAACCGTTAGTAAATAAAATCAACTAGATATAAGAATCCCTAGCCCTAACCCGGTGATGCGGAACAGACACGATTTTTTTAGAAAATCCAATCCGTAGTAGGAAACACACTAATGTGGCTCTCTCCCGAGAGCCTCAAATTTATTTTCTTTTTTCTTCAGAAACAATAATACCAGAATACCAGAAGCACCATCCAAGGAAGACCATCAGCGCCACCAACACCAATAAACAGTGAAATCGCCTTTGTATATAAATCTAATGTATTGTATGTATTTTTAATAAAACTAGGAAATATCACGAACTAATTTTTCATCATCCTAGGTCAGTGCTTATGTGGAGTCTTAACCTCTCCCCCAAATTCTTAAACCTAACCCAATCTGAACCCCAATAATAGATATCGGTGGGCTAATGAACCCTAACACAACCCTAACACAACCATAACCCTAATAATAGATATCGGTGGACTAATGAATCCGCGGACTAGTGAACCCGCGGACTAGTGATCATTCCCCAAAGAGAGACCTGTAATAGGCAGGTTTAGCTCTTGCATAATTTAAGTTTAACTCATACTAACTCTTTAACTTAAAAATGTTAACGTATTAACCAGTTACGGGAAATTTTAACGCATTAACTTGCTCTTAGCCCTGGTGATAACCCTTTCGAGACCACCTGATACCACATACTGTTTATATAGTAAGCCAACGTATCTAAAATCTTGTTTTAACAGAATGAAGTTGATGATTCTAACCCTCGCTGTTCTTGTCCTGGCACAATCTGTTGAAGGTTGGAGGTGGGGGTCAAGAAGGACAGCAGATGACGCTAGGGATGTCCTTGTCTTTTTAATGGGTAAATAAGATACTGATATGGACGTTATAACTGCTGATGGTATTATAACTATTGGGGGAATGGTTAATTTTATGGACGTTGACGATGTAGAAATGATTTTTGCTGAGTTTGATAAAGATGGTAAGTTATTTGATCAAAAATATTTAAAAAATATTTCACACAACTTATTTTATTAAGATGTATCCTGTCTGGTAAGATCCCTTGAAATCTTGTAATCTAATAGTTTAATTACCATATAGCCTGTATGTAATAATATCTCTTCTAATCTGATAGTTTAATTATCATATAACCTGTATGTAATAACATCTCTTGTAATCTGATAGTTGTATTACCATATGGCCTGTATGTAATAACATCTCTTGTAATCTGATAGTATAATTACCATATAGCCTGTATGTAATAATATCTCTTGTAATCTGATAGTTTAATTACCATATAGCCGGTATGTAATAATATCTCTTCTAATCTGATAGTTTAATTACCATATAGCCTGTATGTAATAACATCTCTTGTAATCTGATAGTATAATTACCATATAGCCTGTATGTAATAACATCTCTTGTAATCTGATAGTTTTATTACCATATAGCCTGTATGTAATAATATCTCTTGTAATCTGATAGTTGTATTACCATATAGCCTGTATGTAATAATATCTCTTGTAATCTGATAGTATAATTACCATATAGCCTGTATGTAATAACATCTCTTGTAATCTGATAGTATAATTACCATATAGCCTGTATGTAATAACATCTCTTGTAATCTGATAGTATAATTACCATATAGCCTGTATGTAATAATATCTCTTGTAATCTGATAGTATAATTACCATATAGCCTGTATGTAATAATATCTCTTGTAATCTGATAGTTGTATTACCATATAGCCTGTATGTAATAATATCTCTTGTAATCTGATAGTTGTATTACCATATGGTCTGTATGTAATAACATCTCTTGTAATCTGATAGTATAATTACCATATAGCCTGTATGTAATAATATATCTTGTAATCTGATAGTTGTATTACCATATAGCCTGTATGTAATAATATCTCTTGTAATCTGATAGTTTAATTATCATATAGCCTGTATGCAATAACATCTCTTGTAATCTGATAGTTTTATTATCATATAGCCTGTATGTAATAACATCTCTTGTAATCTGATAATATTGATTTGAGAAAAATATATTTTAATTTTCAACTGTTTTACAGGCGATGGTGTTTTAAATCAACAGAAGAATTTGATGCATTTTATTTAAATCTTGAAACAATGTCCAATAATTAATTAAACCTTGTTTATACGATACAGGTAAATATTTTTCAATGATTCCAGGTAGCGTGTTTGGTGCGTAAGACATTAGGTAGCTAACCCGAAGGTTTCGTGTTCGAACACTGTGTTGACCGAGAAGGTGAACTGGGATTTTCCGGTTCCCACTTGCCTGTGGTGCAGGACCGAGGGCCTGGCATGTGATAACGTATAGTCGTTCGGATGGGACCAAAATCCGAGATTTAAGTACACATTGGCGTGCACGTAAAAGATCCCTTGACAGTTGGAATTCGATATAAGAGTAGGCCGTAGCGCCTCTGTCCAAGCAAATTTTCCATCATAGCAGACTGTATGGCGTATGGCCGTTTTCGTTAGCCCAGTCGGAGCAGAAAAGTAGGACGTTAAACCCCATTTCATTTCATTTCTTTCATAGACCCTGTTTTCTCGTTGACATAAAATAATCTTCAACTTACATATATTAACATGTTTGTAATTTGAATGTGAAGAAGACTGGCGTATACCAATGGGAGTACGTTAAAGATCCCCTGAAAATTGAAAGTAGGATGTAGCACAGTTTACCCATCTTCATTATCCCGGTTAATGTCCAAAAGTATCCTATTTGATAAACATTAAATTTTATGGTTTTATTTCAGATTTTAACAAGATTAGCTTAATACAGTCGTGATCATATATTAAACAGCTTTCTTTCATATCAAATAAATTTATTGTAATCTGAAATTGCCCGAAAAAATTTCAAACGGCGGCGGTGGTCTTCTGTGAGTGAGGAGAAGCTCATATTACCGTGAAGGGACCCTCCAAGAAAATTTTGGAAAATTTGACGGCGAAACGCGTTTTCCTGCTATTTCAGTCCGTGAATACAGCAAGTGGTCTACTATAGTCTAATAAAGATGGCTGACTCGAATTCCAATCAAAAGATCAATCGTTTACAGTCCACGGAGACGTGAAGGTCAGTAGAAAATTTTGAAAATTATACTGTAGTAAACGCGTTTTCCTGTGGTTTTCCTGGCTGATCTGAATCCCAACCAACTAAGAAATCGTCGAGGGATTTAGGGGCCGCGCCCTCCCGGAGAAAATTTTTAAAATTCGTTTTCTTTAGCAGTGGGAGGTAAACCCGGAGGACCCGGAGAAAACCCACGAGGTTGGACAGGCGACCCTACTCCATGTCATAGAACGAAAGAACAAACGATACCGTAATTTATTTTTATTCGTAGTATACCAAGATCTGCATCAAATTGATCACACATTCTCATGGAATTGTTTTGTCTCATCATGGTAATTCTACAATAATAGTTTAACACCCATCCAGGAACTCTACCAAACAGTTGTTACCATGTTGATAAGCACAAGGTGAACAATTCATCAAGGTGTAAATATTAATTACAATTAATGATGACATTTATCACCTGTTAATATATAAATACAGAGAGTACTGTACCTGTTCACTCATCGTTCAGACGTTACTAATACATCGCACAGGTAAACTAGGGTTTTTTTTATTCTATTTTGAAACTCTCTCATGTACCGTACAGATCTACATGTGACGTCACATCATACCGAGTTGATAACACGTGTGTTGTTTACATCGGACCCAGTAACACAAACTCGTCCGGTTAGAATAGGTTCATTTTACTCACCATGACTAAAGTCAGTACGATCAAAAAAAAAAACAATCTCGATTATCCATTTTTGGATTTAATCATCAATGAGCCTTGAACAGCAGATCGGATTCAAATCCAGTAAATATCGCAGGCTAGCGATGACATCGAGAGTTGATTATGGTCTGAATAAATTAATTTATAATTTAGATAACATTTCAGGCCTAAAGAAAGGGGTTCACTAGTCCGCCGCTATAAGAAATACTATGAATATGGGTATCAATAAACCTAACCCTAACCCTAACCCAACCCTAACCCTAACCCTAACCCTAATAATAGATATCGGTGGACTAATGAATCCGCGGACTAGTGAACCCGCGCACTAGTGATCATTCCCCAAAGAGAGACCTGTAATAGGCAGGTTTAGCTCTTGCATAATTTAAGTTTAACTCATACTAACTCTTTAACTTAAAAATTTTAACGAATTAACCAGTTAAAGGACAATTTTAACTATCGCTCAGCCCTGGTGATAACCCTTTCGAGACCACCTGATACCAAATACTGTTTATATAGTAAACCAATGTATCTAAAATCTTGATGTTTTACAGAATGAAGTTGTTGATTGTAACCCTCGCTGTTCTTGTCCTGGCACAATCTGTTGAAGGAGGGTGGGGAAGATTTGGTCGTGACCTTAATAAGGCCTTTACGGGTCAGGGTAAACGAGATGCTGATTTTGACGTTATAACTGCTGATGGTATTATAACTATGGCGGAAATGGCTAATTTTCTGGACGTTGATAATGTCGAAGAGATTTTTGCCAGGTTTGATGAAGATGGTAAGTTATCTAATTGAAATATTTTAAAACTATTTTGCACAATTTATTTTATTAACACGTATCCTCTGTGTGATAATATCGTGAAATAAATCAATTTAAACTTATTTGATAGTTTAATTACCATATAGCCTGTATGTAATAATATCTCTTGTAATCTGATAGTTTTATTACCATATAGCCGGTATGTAATAATATCTCTTGTAATCTGATAGTTTAATTACCATATGGCCTGTATGCAATAATATCTCTTGTAATCTGATAGTTTTATTACCATATAGCCTGTATGCAATAATATCTCTTGTAATCTGATAGGTTTATTACCATATAGCCTGTATGCAATAATATCTATTGTAATCTGATAGTTTTATTACCATGTAGCCTGTATGCAATAATATCTCTTGTAATCTGATAGTTTAATTACCATATGGCCTGTATGCAATAATATCTCTTGTAATCTGATAGTTGTATTACCATGTAGCCTGTATGCAATAATATCTATTGTAATCTGATAGTTTAATTACCATATAGCCTGTATGTAATAATATCTCTTGTAATCTGATAGTTGTATTACCATGTAGCCTGTATGTAATAATATCTATTGTAATCTGATAGTTTTATTACCATATAGCCTGTATGTAATAATATCTCTTGTAATCTGATAGTTGTATTACCATGTAGCCTGTATGCAATAATATCTATTGTAATCTGATAGTTTAATTACCATATAGCCTGTATGTAATAATATCTCTTGTAATCTGATAGTTGTATTACCATGTAGCCTGTATGTAATAATATCTATTGTAATCTGATAGTTTTATTACCATATAGCCTGTATGTAATAATATCTCTTGTAATCTGATAGTTGTATTACCATGTAGCCTGTATGCAATAATATCTCTTGTAATCTTGCCTGCATAGATTAAGCAAAATATTTTGTTTTTTCAACTGTTTTACAGGCGATGGTGTTTTGAATGAAGAAGAATTTGGTGTATTTTATTTAACTCTTGAAGCAACAATGTCTAATAATTAAATACGCCTTGTTTATATGATACAGGTAAATATGTTTCAATGATTCCAGGTAGGGTGTTTAACCTCAAGGTCTCGTGTTCGAACCCTGGGATGACCGAGAGGGGGGGATTTTCCGGTGTGGTCTGGCAAGTGACAACGTATAGTCAGTCGTTCGGATGTGACCAAAAACCGAGGTCTTAGTAAACACTGGCGTGTACGTAAGCGATCCTTTTTCAAGAGGAAACCGATATAAGAGAAGGCTATAACGCCAATGTCCAGGCAAAATTGCCCTCATAGTAGACTGTATGACGTATGCCCGTCTTCATTATCCCAGTCGGAGCAGAACAGTAGGACGTTAAACCCCATTTCATTTCATTTCTTTCTAACGGTAAGAAAATCATAGACCATGTTTCCTCATTGATATGTGTTGAAATGTTTGTAATTTAAATGTGAAGAAGAGTATGGTGTATACCAATGGGAGTACGTTAAAGATCACCTGACATTTGAAAACTCAAAGTAGGATGTTGCACCGTCCTCATTATCCCGGTTGATGTCATAAAGTATCATATTTGATCAGCATTAAATTTTATGTTTTTATTTCAGATTTTAACAAGATTAGATTAATACAGTCGTGATCATATATTGCACAGCTTTCTTTCATATCAAATAAATTTATTGGAAGCTGAATGTTTTTAGTTATTCTAGTTGAGACTCAGTTACATTAATCATTATTTATATCACAGGGCCGGCTACGTTACTATATGTTACCAAAATCCTTACTTAGGACGTGTTTTAACGGGAGGGGGGGGGTATAGTCCTTAACAACAATCTTAAACAGAAATATGCCGTATGCAGTCATACCCAGACCCGTACTTATTCTATTTTTTACCAGTCACTATTCTCATTTGATATCCCCCTCCCCCCCCCCCCCCGCGCTTTTGGGGTAACTGATAATATGGTATTTCCCTCATCAATTCTCATCCCTTGTAATAATCTGATGTCGGCTATCATAATATATGTCTTTAACTGATTATTGGTTCTACATATTATAGAGAAGTCATATCTCGCGCACTTCAATTGAATGAGTGATAGGTTTATATATATAAAAACAGTTATAATTTCATACACATTTAATTCTGGCTTAATAACAATATCACACGTCTGACACTTCTGGTTGAAAGTATCTACAGTCCATATAAGGGTGTTTCTGACGTCATTAGGCTTAGTAATCATCATAATTAATTACGTAATATTTGTCCAATTAAATAATTGACAGAGCTGGATGAAATTTTGCCAGGACACCGACACTGCGGCCTACTCTTACATCGAATTCCAACTGCCAATGTGTTCACGGAGTCAATGTTATATGACTGATTTAGGTCCTATAGACTTTAGATACTATGTAGATTGTTCGAGAGGAGCCCCGCATAGAGAGAGATATCATGTTGGGAGAATCTGAATGCCCCGTTAGGTCGTGGGAGTGTCATATGATGTCCGTATTCCGTCAGTACTCTCGTTCTGCAAAATGGTGGGGTTAAGAGAGTATGCTTGTAACCTATGTATCCAGTGCGTGATATAATTTTTTTTAAAACGAACTCTTGCATTGTTGTTCCTGGTGGATAAACGTCTTAACTACTGAGATAGTAAACTGTATATTCACAACTTAAAAGAAGTCCAAAGAAAGCGTATGCGAGTATGCGTCACACGTTGGATGTGAGCGGTCGTTTGGTTGATTTCACTTTCCATATCTGACCATGCAGCCACGCCTACTGTTACACCCCTTGAAATGTTAGATTATTATTTAATCACCATGACAACAGCAATGACAAAATCTATTGAGTTTCAGTTCACAATTCATGTGCCAATCCCCACAACTTGAATTATAGACGACCAGGGGTTTGGGATCTCATCGTGCAAGACACTGACTAGAAACGACATTTTATTCTTCCTCAACTAATCGTCACCAATAAGAAGAGTGCGTGGGAATTCCACTTTACCATAGTAACAGGTCACATGACCAAAGAAATGAAATGAAATGGGGTTTAACGTCCTACTGTTTTGCTCCTAACCTGGGTTAATGAAGACGGGCATACGCCATACAGTGTGCTATGAGGGAAATTTTGCCCGGGCAGCGGCACTACGGCCTACTCTTATATTGAATTCCAACTGCCAAGGGATCTTTTACGTGCACGCCAATGTGTACACGTGACCATCCGAACGACTAGACAGCTGTCCTTGTCAGGCCCTCCGTCCTGCATCACTGACAAGGGGAAACCACGCCGGAAAATCGGGATGAGCTATCTCGGCCATTGAGGGATCGAACACCCGACCTCCAGGCTAGCGAGCTAGCGTCTTACCCACTTAGCCACGTGATCCCCCACACATGACCAAAGATACCTTTTAAAGAGGAACTATGTACGGGTGTACCCCTATCCCTGTAATTCAAACTTGAAGTAACTCCTTAACCCAGACAAGAATCTAAATAGCATTATGTTCAACGAGCTGTGGACATTGCTTTATACAGTTATGCACTGAACATCTATTTAATAAGTTAAGCAGCTCGTGCGACGTTGCACTGTGCGGCAGCTATGGCGGACTAGTACAAGTTGTTTGGCTAAATCACACAGTGCAGACCAAGATAGCACCCCTAAGGTTCACCAAACAATTAAATCAAAATCAACAACAATCGGAATATGACATGAACTGTATGTAAACTTGAATAAAACTGTTTTCTGGCGAGATAATGATAGGCGAACAACTATAATATCTATGTTCTACCGGGTACTCTATTTGAAAATGTGGGGTGCGGTGAGTATTATTTCCTTTTTGTAAATGGAAGTTAGGTGTGTGTGTGTGGGGGGGGGGGGGGGGTATTATTTCCTATTTGGGGTGGCGACAGCAGAACGTCCCCTTCCACTTTATTTAGTAGGGGTCGTGTGCGTGGAACCCCTATGCCCAAGCCACATACGCTCACACGATGGAATGCAACCCAGGAAAACAAGCCAGAGGTGGCTGACCAGATACAACTTGAACCACAACAATGTTATGAGGGAAATATTGCTCGGATATTGTTGTTTCCACGGACTACCCAATACTCCTCCCCAATCTCATTAAAACACAGATCCTATTATTTCGTTTCGTTTTTATAGTTCAAATTTCGTTTTACTTGTCTTTACTACTTTACTACACTCGGATCTGGAAGAGTTGTTATCATTGACGTGTTTTGAATGGTGTGAGGGATCAGCCAATGGAACGGTCTGTTACGGCGAGGTTTAGGCGTGTGGTGCACGGAACTGTGGGTAATCCACTAGAAACATCAATGCTGATTGGTTAATCAAATGGCTGACGTCATAAGGTCAAATATCACTTGTATGACCTCTGACGCGACCTATCACTACAACCGGTCAGGTCTTCATGTAGTGTAGGCCATCGAAGTATCAAAAAACAAAACGAAACGAAATATAGATTTGTTATTTTATTCAGATTGACTATTTCCCGACCTCGAACTTATAAAAAGACAATTTGAAAATTCTGCCTAAAACCACAGCGACCAGATAAATCCTTGGCCTTTCGGGAATCTTCGTGTGTTTATCTTACCGATAACACGTACATATATCTTACCTCCTGTATGAATAAAATGGGGTTTAACGTCCTACTGTTCTGCTCCTACTGGGCTAATAAAGACGGGCATACGTCATACAGTGTGCTATGAGGTAAATTTTGCGGCACTACGGCCTACTCTTATATCGAATTCAACTGTCTCTGTGTTTACGGGGCCTCGGTGCTCATACCATCCGAACGACTAGACTCAGTCTCTGCCAGGCTAACACGGTGGGCGAACCTGGGATCCATTGGTTAGCGAGCCAAAGTCTTTCCCACCGAGTCACCGCCCCCTCACATAAACTCAAACACCGGGGGCGAATTCGCGATTTTCTGGTTAGCGAGCCAGCTTCTTTCTCACTGAGTCGCCCCGGCCCTCATAACTCCTACATAAAATAACAAGAGACATTCAGATATTCAATAAATTTATTTTATATGAAAACTGTTTAAGATAATATGATCACCGCTCTGCTGTTTAAAATGTTCTTCATTTTAGATTAATTTCTGAAATAAAGCAACACAAAATTAATGCCAACAAAAAAAATTAGATTCTAAAATATTGTAAAAAGATCAAAAGTCACTAGATAATTAATTATTGCCACTGAAAAAAACGTTCAAAATTATCTTACGTATTCATTAGCTCAGTCGATGCCAACAACGGGATCGAACCCGTGACCTTTTGATTAATGAGCACGCGTCTCAACCCTAAGCATCCATGTCCAGGGATCTTTAACGTACTATGAATGAGATACACCATCCCCTTCAAATTACAAACACTGAATATATATATATATACCAATGAGCAAACGGACTCTAATGTTTACTTACCACCAAAACGATTAAACACACTACCTGGACAGGCGACCCTGCTACTTGTCATGTACAAGCGCGGAATCGAAACCACGTAACTTGACTAAATGGCAGACCTTATGATGCAACGCGCTCGGGTTAAACCATTCAATCCCCCTCCCCCCTCCACCCCACCATCAGAAAGACTACAGTCGCTACCTGGAATCATTGAAACATATATATTTACCTGTATCGTATAAACAAGGTTTAGCTGCTTGAAGAACTAAATAATCCTCATAAAATACCGCAAACTCTTCTTGATTTATGACATCATTTCCTGTAAAACAGATTAAAATGAAAATAAATTGTTGTCTGAAATATATATATTCAGTGTCAGTATTCCTCTATAGGCAGGCTGAAAAGTAAGGCCTCAAGGTCTAGAGGGTTGGGGGGGGGCGCTCTAGCCAAAGTGTGAAATAGTTTTGACACTGCCATAAGCCTGTCTTAAACAAAGTGTAGTCGCAAACATCCTTCGTAGTTCTCGCCCTTGCTCAATTGTGTTTAAAAACACCCTCATACTCTAGTCGTGGGGCATTCAGCACACAGAGGCCTATCTATTTCGAGTATAAATCTCTGCCCGAAATGGCCGCCATGTCTAAAAATTAGTATATTATT